GCATTATCCTTTTGTCCTGGATTGTGGGGCCATTGGCTCTCTCCTATGCTCCTTCAACAGTGTTGATTGAGACTGAGAGTCTTCACACAGATATTGTGAATGAGAGTATTCTACATCTTTCTTTTCAGGTTAAAATGTTCGTCAAAAATTTCTGGGCACTAGATGGAATCTAGACTACATCAAAAGACAGGATATGCAACTAAAGCCATCCTAGAGTGCTGTAGCGTTCTCTTCAGCCCACATATCCCCACTACTGGAGCCCGAGGCCTAGAATAAAAGATGGTCAGTGGTAAGTGATGATTCCCAGCATCCACAGTTCATAAATACTACTGATAAATCTAGCCGTAGTTACGGAGTAGTCCGTCTAGTACTATTTACGAGGTGCCACCGAGGTGAGTGATGATACAGCAGCAAGGTAATAACTATGATTTCCTGGTCTCTGCTTTTGGAATGTCCCAACCCTTGAGCTGCCCGTCCAATTGCCTTCTTGAATCAAGCAAGTCGTCAATCTCGCTTCCTTTCGTCAGTACTGCCAAAGTTCAAACGCATGACATGGAAATTGCATGATCCGTTGCATGCATCGTCTTCTTACTTTAGCTCCAGAGCCCTAGCCCAACAGGCTCCCTTCGCAAGCAACATTAGCGGTGATTCTAAACTACCTTATATTCAATTCCGGTCCATAACGTCCTGCACATGCATAACCAAGAACCTAAAAGGGTTAATTAGCCGTCATCTCTTGCTAAAAAGGCCCGTTTATTGTTTTCAACTTGATCACATCCTCCACCGGTAGTCAGGAGTTCCTATTGGACATACCCCAGTAAAGTGGCTAGTCTTTCATCAGGATTCGACATCATGAACAGCCCGACCGTATGATCAGGGCAGCAGTGGCTTCGGACCAGGATTGCCGGGTTTTCGGTGACCGAAATGCCCAAGACTGATTACATGTGCTCATCGGCCATCACATATGAGATTTTCCCCTTCAGATTCACTACAGTCGCTTCTCCAGCTCCACCACCTCCTTCAGCCCCTCTGCACCACTCTCCCTCTTTTCCTCCTCTTCCGTCCCCCGCAATGGCCTCCGTGCATATCCCCCGTAACCAAACCACACTCTCAATGCACTCTTGACAGCACCGACCCCGCCCTGCGTAGCCACTCGATCCGCCCTCGCAACCACCCCCTGGAGCCTCCTCGCTTCCTCCATCTCCCCCAAATGATACAACTCAACCAGCCTCACACACACCTTAGGCGCAATATTCGCCAATCCCGCAACCACTCCCGACCCACCACCCACCAACGTCTGCAGCGTCGCATCCGCCGAGCCCCCAAAGCACATAAACCCTGAACCCCGCTCCGCAGCCGTCGCAGGCTGCACAGCCGCAACAAGCCGGTTCAGCTTTCCCATATCGTTACAGGTAAGCTTGCACCCCACGAGATTCGGATGTTCCGCCAGCGACGCAAGCGTCTCCGCGTCGAGGTCCACGCCCGTCACGGCGGGGTAGTTGTACACCAGCACTGGGATGGGCGACGCACCGGCCACATCCTCGAAATAGGCCGTTAGGCTCGGAAGCGTGTACTGCGCCTTGTAAGTAGACGGAGGGAGGACGAGCGCGTAGTCCGCGCCTGACTCGAACGCATCCTGGCACAGCTCGATCGTCTCGCTTGTGGATGGCGCGCCGCAGCCTGCGATGAGCGGGAGCTGCGGGTATCCCGCTGCTGCGACGGCGTGGCGTGTTGTGCGGGTGATGCGGGCCCGTTCTGTGTGGGAGAGGTGTGCGGCTTCCCCGTAGGTGCCTTGGGTGATGAGGCCCATGGCCCCGGCTTTGGCCATGCGTATGGCGTGCTGGGCGACTGTGGACTCATCGAGTTCTTCGGTTTCGGGGGAGAAGAAGGCGAGGAGCGGGAAGTAGACGCCTGGTTTGAGGGCTCGGCGGGGGTGTTCTTCTGAAGGAGGGTTGTTGGTGCTGGAGTAGGTTTGGTTGCGGTGCGATTGGGAGTAGATGGTGTTGGTGTTGGGGGTGTTGGAGGCGTCTTTATCGGCCATGTTCAGGTGGGTTGACGTATTCTGATGGACATTAGCATCTCGGTAGTTAAATGATAGCGGCTATAGAGGTTACAAGTGTGGTGGTGTTCTTCAAAGAGAGTATCATAGCTATGTCATTATGTGTAGTAGAGCCGACCAGGGATCAAAAGTCTCTCCTTGCCATCGTGTCTACAGTAATTTCCTTATTCGGTACTCAAAAGAACCAGATTTAATTCGATGATAGCCAATTTGAGAAGCAAATATGGTGCAAAGGTATCTAGCGGTTGGCTCAAAAGCAATCCAAGAGAAACAAAAACACATCCTCAAGTCTTTCCAGTAGTTGAAGCTACCGGCTCAAATAATGCAGCTAGGGCTGTCATATCCCTTGTTTCAATAAACTCAGTGACAGTGAGAAGATCATCTCGTTCCGCGAAGATGGAGCCATCCCATATGAACTCATCATAATGATAGTCAAACTCAATGTCAGCGAACCGGAGACCCAGGTACTCTCTAAACATGTACTCGAAGAATTGATGGTGAGGATACCGCGCAGGGTTTTGGGATGAGAATTCATTGTCACGGCCCGCCATTCGGTACAGATCATACAGGAACTGGTAGATATGCTGAAACCCTACCCCTGATCTTGTCTGTGATGTACGCGAAACGGGAGTAGCGACAAGATGAGAGTCGACTGCATCAGCGGCCTTTGCTGGCGTTGAGATATACTCCGGAAAGAAGGTCCCAAATAGCACAACGGGAGTCGTTCTGGCAGGCTTGTAGAGAAGATCCGGGGCAATTCTAGTTCTCCCATGTTCTTTGGAGCCGTTCCCATTGACGATGATTGGTTGCCTGACCTGAATGCCAGTCAAAACCTCCAAGGCAAAAAACAGCTGACCCAGTTCGACGAACACAACAGCCGCCTCTGAGGAACTAAGGCCTTGAGGCGCTGCGAAAGGGGGAAGGATCTCTGTGGTTTGCTCGTGAAGGTTAGGCTGGTGCGCACGCTTCTTGCCTTGCTGAACAAAAAACTCTCCAAGAGCCTTGAAGCTACCATGAATGCCTCCACTCTCTCCAAGATTGTAGGGGGCAAAGGTCATGAGATAATTGAGCTCGTCTCCACCCACTGGCTCGCTCGACATGTCATCAGATGCCAATGCCTCGACGTACTTCTCCAGGAAATTCGGTAGTCCCCAGTTTGCCGCGAAATACATCGGTTCCTGGTATGCACGAGAGAGAACGGCGCCTGCCAGGAGGACTCGGTAGATAGAACTGTGGAATCGCTCTCTCCACAGAACCCACAGTGCAGCGCCGTCCGGCTGGTCATTTTCTATTTTATCCTTCAAGCCTTGCTGGTCTTCGACATAGATCTGTTCGGCACACTTGGCCAGATGCTCAAAGTCGCGCACCTGCTGGAATTCGCTGATCGACGGCTTGCGAACGGCACCACTCAAAGTAGAAAGGGGGAACGGGTCTGGGGGTAATTCTTCTTTCTGGAAGCTTTCAAGCACGATTTCTGTTGCTCGAACCTGGAGACTCATTTGTCATTCTTGATATCATGTAGAGTATTGCATTACTTACCGCCATCAAGGCATCGTCGAACGCCAGGATTTGCTTCTGCGCAATAGTCCATATTATCTGAGGAGCATGGCATAGCCACACATCATGGAACCGCCTGCATGCTGAAGCGCAGACTACAACTTCTTCCACGGTCTCGAAGTTATTCAAGACTTGGATTATGATCTCGGGGACCAGCTCTGAAGCCATATTGAGGGGGAGGGGTGGCATGGAAGAAAGATGAAAATGTTGGCTGCGTAAAGCCTGTTTACACCAGGTGAGGATGTCTGATCGTCTTCAACCATGGCTCACTTGCTCCTTGACGTGGTTGGTGTTGCTCAACCCTTAGTATTCACCGACAATGGTACCTGCATTGCCTCAACAAATTACAAAGAGATTATTTGCGCAAAGAGCAGAAGCGTACTACTGATGATGTTGTATGATGGCCGGGGATTTGTACAATCTGGGCTCTGGGCTCTTACAACCAAATAACCAGTCGATAATACCACCTCAATGATCAGAGTAGAAAGGTGGCCCTGCACTCATGTCTACCCCGTTTGAGTTGGCCTGCTTCTGTTTGTGCTTTTTCGACAGCAAAACAGGACTGCAAGGCATGCCGACCAGTCTGCGCTCTCGCAAGACTGCGACTCGAGAACAGTGGTCTACCACTATTTGCACAGAATATGACAACGGGCACAAAAACGTTCTTTCTTTTGCTTTTCGAAATCCACAGCTTCGTCAACAGCTCCAACAATGATCCCCTCACAGTAGTTGGGTGCTGGGGTCTACCACGGTTGCCCTTTCTCCATACAGTAAGCAACTTGTGAGTTCATCATCTATGAACTATCTGAATTCTTCGCAGCAGGATCAAGTGAGATTGATTTATCTCCTGTCTTGACAAACGAAGGAACCCCTTTAGGCGCGTTATCCTGCTTTTGAAAACAATGTCAATGAACTTTGACACTTTTTGACACTATTCTCCCATTACCCTCTGCTGGGAAGCCTCATCTGTTTTAAACGAAGCTATATTATAGCCTGCTATGCCTGAGCTACGAAATCAATCTAGAGTACTGAGGAAACTGTGTTCTTCAGTTTCTTACAAGCTGTTGAAGTGATTAAAGCCATATCTCAGTGTCCAAAAGAATACCTGGTAAGTTTGTTTTTAGGGAGGTAGACCAGTCAATCTACCTTCTGTTCAATTCTAGGTCCTTCGTAAAGTCTGCCTGCTTTCAATGACATTCACTCTACTGGGGAGCTTTGCCTCCCTCATCACTGTTCTCACGAGACTCTGTCTATAAATACCCCCTGCACCCCCAACCATCAACCTATTCCTCTTTCTCTTACCCACCCACTTCTTCTGCTATACCAAGTCTCTTTATCATCAAAGCACGAAACTTCATAAGCTGTACCAAGTCTTTGCGTCAGGATGAAACTTCACGCTCTTACCCCTTTCCTTTTTGCCCCTCTTGCAGCTTCGGCTGCTCTCCCTGAGGTCCACAATGGAGTGGTCGACGCCAACAGTGAGTTTCTCTGCTATAATACAGGGATTCGAACATCTAACAAAGCTAGACGATGCTACTCCCGCCAACGGAGCTCTTGAGAATTTTGCTACCTACGCTGATGGTGAGAGCCTTTTTGCCTGAACCTCTCTTGACTCATGTGACTAACTTCTTTTGCCTCAGTGACTACCCACAAGGCTAATTGGGATAATGCTGTTACTCGTGTCTGCGACAGTTATGATTCCTGTGGATATGGCGAGCTTTGCGTTAATGGAAAATGTGTCGTCGGAAGCTTTCCTGAGCTTGCCACGCGTGACGATGGTGAGTATCCCTCACGACTTGCCACACCCTATACTTACGACTCGATTCTCAGAAACCAACCTCGACACTGAGGGTGAACCGCGTCGCTGCAACAATATCAACCTCTGGTGCCCCCCTCATCAGTTCTGCTACCGCAGCGTTTGCGTTAGTATTGGTGCTCTCGGTGTCCGTGCTGATGGTGAGTACTTGTTCTCTTTAGGTGGATATTCAGCCCAGCTAACTCTTCTTCCCGTCAGAGGTCCTCCATGAAGAGACTCGTTGCCGCATGAACATGGATTGTCCCCCTAGCCAGTCCTGTGTTGGTGGAGAATGCCGCAGCAGAATCCCTCCTGTGGCTTGAGCTCACTCAGCCTACCTGGGTTACGTTCCTATGACGAGGTCTCATCGAGTCATAAGGTTTTCGAACCTATTAAACGAAGGGTACTGGATTTATCTTTCAATGCGGAAATTTGAAGTGCAATAGCACTCGGAGGCTCTACGAAGTCTACCACAGCTAGCTTGATAGCATTTACGAATTGATGACTTTTTACAATTCTTCGCCACTAGTAACTCGTAGTAAGGATCTATTGATCATGAAACATATTATAAGAGAATTGAGCCTTGATATTCTCGCTAATGTGAGTGTGCTAATTAAATAAGACCATGCGCAAGCTTTGTTCTTGAAGGAGATGTTGAACAGAGGAAGTTCAGCCATATGCCCGCTTTATCACTGTCAAAAGTGAGACTCGAGTTAGAAGCTTGGAAGCCATCACGTCAACTGGATTTCCTGAGCGAGTCCTTGTGTCTCTTTGCTCAGATTCAGGTACGCAATGTATGTCCGCAATTGATTCAACTCTGTACAATCAGTAGCTGACACAATGAAATCTTAACAGTGACTAAAAGAAAAGCTGATAAAAACCAACCACAAACGAGACTCCGTGATCCAAGGCACAAGGAGAATGACTGAAATTTTGAGTAATGTCACTTTTCCTACTAGAAATATCAAGCAGGCTCTTATACTGGGCAATGATAATCAATCAAGAAGTGGTTGACCAGGATTCAGAGATGGACAGTGATACACCACACATGGGACGTGGCTTGCGTCTCAGCGCCAGACTTTCGATGGTGTGGATTTCATACCCCTTCTTACTACGGGTTACTATTGTTTATTCATGCATACCACTAAAGGTAGACCTGGACCCACCTCCCATACTTTCAGGTGCCCCGGTCTAAGATATACTACTACCTATGGAGGAGAATCAGCTGCTCGCGTATGCTTGGTCCGCTCATTGAGACCGTTACTATATCTCCGACTAGTATGCGGGGGGTGTACGAATAAACCCTTTATTACAAAGAAGATATCTATTTTGTAAAACGATTCACCGCGACATAGATTAATCAATCAAGAAAAGCATAAAGCCCAAGAGAAGAGCACCTAGTTACATACTTCCGGGAAACCTGATTCACACACTCGGCAGTACACTTGAAGAGATGAGGACAGTCCAAGTTTAGTTTAGTTCTTGAAGTCACGAGCGTGCCGGCGGCTGTAGTCACCGCTGGAACAGGTGCTCACAGGGTTTTGATAGGAAGAAGCACCCGACTGGGAAGACTCATCGGAACCGGTGACGTTGGCAACCTTGGAATATGAGCTAGAGCCAGAGCCAGATCCGCCGGTCCAGACAGCAGGACCAGGCATAGGATAATCCTTGTAGCCATTCCAGAGACTGAAGTTGAAGGACGGGTCGTCTTTCTTGTATCCGCCGGGGAACTTGATAGTAGGACCGGGGTTGCCGTTGCCACCGCCAACAACCTTGACCTGGGCGCAGCTGGAGTATGGTCAGAAAGATTTATCGAGCTGTGGAATCAGAGCTGAAACTTACGTGTAGTAGAACTCGGCTTGTCCATCATGGGCTCCGTGAAGACCTGTATTTGCATTAATATTACGTATCTAAGGATGAGGAAAGATGAAAAAATGCCCATACCAATGTGCTCAGGGCGGATGAGGTACTCCCCGTCAGGGAGATCAGAAGGAATGGTAAACTCAATGCGGTCCTTGTCCCAGGTGCACCAGGCATTCTTGGTGAAGTCGGCATTCTTGTTGCAAACGCCTTCTTCGTGAATTTTGAACCAGTCACCATCACCCTCATAGGACTTTGCGCTGCTTGGAGCCTTGGACATGTACACCAAGGCAGGGCCGGGGTGCTGCATAGTGGCCCCGACGGCGAGCTTCAGAGCAAGCTTGGAGCCGGCCTTGACCTCGGCCGTGCCTGTCTTGCCGGCAAAGGTAAAGGCGCCTTTGTTGCAGCGGAAGTCGGTCATATCAGGCGTCATGTTGTCGCGAATGTTCTTCCACTTGGTCGGGTTGTACTTGGCCTGGCGGGTGTTGGAGCGAACGAACTCGTTGCTTTTGGTCTCCTGGCCATCGATAACAAGGACATCAAAGAAATAATGGGCAGATACAAATGGCACCAGGGCCACGGCAGCAAGAAGGGACAGCTTCATCTTGATGAAAGCAGAAGAAAAGAGCGGTTAGGCTGTTGGTACAAGAGAGAATGGAATGGGACCGGCCCAAGAAAGAAAGTTATTGTACTGAGGTAAAAGAAGCGAACAGTAGAGACAGACAAGCGGTGAATCTGCTGAACTCAATAAAGAGAGGAATTGGCGTTCCTTATAAACTTTGAGTTCCCATTGTCTCTATCACCCACCACAGATTGTTATCTGTGTTTTCTTCGAACAAGTTTCACATCCTGAACAGCCTCACTCTATCCGAAATATGCCAAGCGAGGAACGCGCTGGCCATGCTGATTCATGTTGGTGGGTCGGTGGATCCACCTCGTACAATCACGCACCCAAAGCTTCAGTGTTTCACTTAGATTCCTTTGAAGGAGTTCACCCTGGCACGTTCAGGGATCAACTAGGTATGGCAGCTCTTTTAGTTTACCCTTTGAGCTGGCCAGAGTCCAGACACGTACATTTTCTTTTCTTGGAACCCTGAAGTTCGTATCTCAGCTATACTTTCAAGTTAGACTAGGTCAAGGTTCGCAAAGAGGTGAAGATGGTCCATGATGTGGCTGAGATTAAAGACTTGTATAGCTGATAATTGATCCATCAGATGAAGAGCAATGCTTTTAGCACAAATCTATTCCGAGGCATGGAACAACGGAGAAGTCCAAGACAGATAGGTCTGGGCTTGGCGAAGCTCTAGAATTGGCGATTCGATTCACTTTCGACTGCTGTCCTAGAGATGGGAGAGTCTGGGCACTGACATTTAGGCTGAATACATGAGAAGAATCAGAATCTATTGCGTACGCTCGCAGGAGACTATAGTCTTCGGCATATAGGATACCTTGCGCTTGCCGAAGACGAATCCTACATCGCGTCAGATACGTCATGAACTTCAGCGGTCTAGAGGTCAATGTCTCAGTGTCATCCATGCACACTAAACTGAAGCGGCAACAAGTCGAGTTGACTCCGGCTAGACTAACTAGTTGGCCAACCTCAAGTACGGAGTAGATGAGCCACTTGGGGTTATCCATATTCAGTCTTCTACAGTGAGCCGCCAGTTGCAATTGGACGTTGGCTACAAGATACGACGTCTCTGTCACAGAACGAGTCAGTCAGTCAAGTAAAGCAATGCGCGTCGGCAAATGAGAGGTATGCTCACCAGCCGGGCAGCGCCATTTTGGCATGGCTCTAAGGGTCCATCCTATCTTGGCAATGGGTAGATGATGAGACATTCTGGGTCTCAGGGTCTCAGGGACTCAGGGTAGCCATTTCAGACCAACCCCCCGTGCGCCAAAGGGTTAGTAGCCGTCTTGGCACTAGGTACCCTATTTTCGCTCTTCGCGCTAGGTTTAACCGTAACAGCAGACCCGCTCATCTTCGAAAGCCTGCCTAAGAAGGGTCTCTGACGCAAGGCCGAGCGGAGGTGTGCTATAGCACAAGTCAAGATGGTGATACACACAACTGATGGCAAGTCCACCCCGAAAAACAGTATTTGCAGATCTTCTCTTCGGCAATGGAAAGAAATTCATGGTCAACATCAGCCGGGAGGGTGAACCATCTGGGTCGTTGATCAAAGGCATAAATACTAGGCACAATTGCCATCAAGACATTGCTTCCATAGGACTCTCAGCTGCCCTGCGAGCACCATCCTCTTCCATATTATCACCTGCTGTCATATCCACCCATCAACATACCTCGAGGTCTCACAATGGTCCCAACCATGATATATTCGGCCATCCTGGCGCTGAGCGCCTTCACGCCCTCGGTCCTAGCCCAAACTCGATCCTCTGGCTGCGGCAAACAGCCGAGTCTCACCAACGGCGTGCACAACATCAATGGCCGGGAGTATATACTCAAGGTTCCTGACAACTACGATAAGAACAAAGCCCATCACCTGGTCTTTGGCTTGCACTGGCGCGGCGGCAACATGTGGAACATTGTCGACGGCCAAAGTGTCCAGCCCTGGTACGGCCTCGAGACGCGCGCTCAGGGCAGCACCATATTCGTTGCCCCTAACGGCAAAAATGCCGGCTGGGCCAACAACGGCGGCGAGGATATTGCCTTCATCGATGCGATCATCAAGCAGGTCGAGGGCGACCTCTGCGTTGATCAAAGCTCTCGCTTTGCAACGGGATTTAGCTGGGGCGGTGGTATGTCGTATTCGTTAGCCTGCTCGCGTGCGAAGCAGTTCAGGGCTGTCTCTGTCCTGAGTGGCGGTGTGATCAGCGGTTGCGACGGTGGTAACGACCCAATTGCTTATCTCGGCATCCACGGCATCAACGATGGCGTGCTGCCCTTCCAAGGGGGCGTCAACCTGGCCCAGAAGTTCGTCAAGAACAATAGATGCCAGCAAGCCAACGTTGGCACACCACAGCCTGGCAGCCATGGCTCGGTTCGCACGGATTTCAAGGGATGCTCCAAACCGGTTTCATTTATCGCCTATGATGGTGGCCATGACGCTGCTCCTCTTGGTGTGGGTAGTTCTCTGGCGCCCGATGCGACTTGGAAATTCTTCATGGCCGCTTGAATGTTGGCTTTTTGTCTCAGGACCACAACCCTGGTTTCAGAGAAGGGCCCTGGAAGGTTCATGGATCTTTGTGATGTCTATATCCACGCTCGTTAACCATGTATATACCGACATCAGCAGGTAGCGAACAATGGAGATGTATATGAGTGTAAAATGCTAACAGGGCCATGTGGAAGTATGTGAAACGTAAGGAATGTAGAGGTAGCGTCCCATGCGGCAAGGCTATTGAGAGAAACCATCAGCATCGCTGATCTATCAGAGCGTCCCAGAATAGGCACAATGATGGTCTGCTGTTACTCATCTTGCATTTGTGGGCAGTAAGCAGATTGGGTACGTCAGCTCATACAATTCCTTGCTGTTTTCGCTGCAAAAGCGAGAGGAGCGGGTCTGACATTCGTCGAGAATCCCTGTTAACTTCTCGGCACCACTAAGTAGAGTGTCGACTAAAAGGAGAACCACCCATAAATTCATTCCTGAACCTGTTCATTTTGCGTTACGTCCTATCTGATGTACGCACCAAGCCAGCTGCCTGCCCCCACGTGATACCGTCTAGTCCAGCAATAGAGCATCTCTTTCTTCCTAAAACCAGCGTCCACCGTCACTCGTTCGTTCAGGGACATAGTTCGAATGCTGGTACACCATGCAGCAATACAACAGCGATATCTCCATCCTTGATCTCTTTCCCCACGCGTACAAGCGCGGGTTGTCAGTACGATTCTTCACTTTACTTTTTATTTGGCAGAAGACACATTTGAATGGTCACTGACTGAGCTTCTAAACAAGGGAATGCGAGAACAACATGACTGCCAGTGCGCTAGAACCCGTCCGTAATCCTCATCTCACAGTCTGAGAGCATTAATACTTCCCTCGAATAGCATGAAAGAACTTGTACGTTGTTTACGGCCGCAGGAGCAATTTGACTCTCCTTGAGCAAACACTCGTGCAGCCTCTTGGAATCCGATCTGTCCCCCACGAACGCCTGAACACTCGCATCAGCAACACTGGCTAAAGCGCTGGAGAAATCACATCCGTGACGGCGGTGGAAGCTTGGCTGTGATGCTACGATCGCGTCCTCTGCCTACAGCTCTCCAGCCCTCAGTAGGTCGAAGTTACCCCTTGGTGTCCGGCTCAGCCCATGGATTCATAGCCCTGTCGTGCAATACGAGTTTGCCACGCCGTCACAGGTGTGTCACTGAATTCAAGCTTCTATTGCTTAACATTGGTTGAAGTATGGGGCGAGTGCGCCAAACTGGTTTCCTTGGTTCACGGTAGTTCTCGGAAATTCCTGACGTGTATGGGCATTTCATCATCTGCCCGCCCCCGCCTCAATTCAATTTATATAGCTTTTCCGCCGTGCGAATGTGACGGCGTGTTTCAAAGGAAGCTCTACGACGTAAAGCCTCACCCTCACCACATAATGTCTGATCTCGAGAATATGGACACTCTTCGCTTTCGCGAACGAGTCCACCAACGCCGACGACACAGTCAACCACTCACCGACGAGGAAATCACCTATATTACTCAACAGAGCGCAGAGCTTGCCGACGAATCATTAACAGGTAAGGCTTTTGAATATCTCATGTTGGTTGAGGTCTTCCGGGCTAAGAGCACCCGAGACCAGGTGAATCCGGACCAGATTCGATGGGCGTCCAAGGCCGAGCAAGTCTTGAGCAAGCCGTTGAATGAGATCACGATGGACGACGCAAGGAATTTAACCTCCAAGGAGGTAAGAGCTGCTGTTCTTTGACATGGAAACTGGGCTCTTTTCTAGTAGGTGCCTGGCTGACGCTAAGTCATAGGCGCGTGCGTTTGCGGATCTCCCTGCGACCGGATCAGTGGCCTCGCATGTTCATTCGGCAGCGGAAAAGAATGCCGATGGCGCGTAGATATTTTTTGGAGTTAGCTTAGATACAATTTTATTATCGTCTTCGGTGTATTCATTCTCAGTCTAAAGAAGACAATTCTAGTAAATGGATGCGGGGAGTTTTGAGGCTGGAGAAATGGAGCGCTTGGATATGGAGGGGCTTGAATGGGACCGGTTCCGGACAGATTCTAGAAGGCTTAATTGAATGCCACTTAATAATAGCAAGGTCGATAATAGCAGGCTACCGGAAGTAGTGCTTACAATGAAGGAATCGACTACCCTCTGCGGATACGGCATATGCGTAATGTGTGGAAGAGCTCTACATCGACAGCGTTGTAGTAGTTACAGGAGAAACGGCCTCACCCGGTTTGACATTCTGTCGATGTGAGCCCAGTCGACCACAAACTCATACAAATGCTACTTCAACTACTTCGGGGTCCTGAACAACCTCTATCTAATGATAATGAGAATTTCAGCAGACCGACGTCATTGAACTAAGGGGGAGAACAGTGGCAATGGCTACTAGTTCTTGGTTAGACCTCTGATCTCTGGTATTCTGTCTGACCTCTATTATGGCCGAACTTATTATTTAGTCTGTCCCTCACGCTATCTTCAGCAATTGCAACTCAGCATTTTCGTGCGTGCACAGGCTGATCAAATATACCATCATTTGTGTTTCCCAAAAGTTGCTATCAATGTGCTCTCCGTTGTTATGAACCCCGTCAGGTACCGGTGCATGTCAAACGAGTCTTCGCTTTCTTCAAGCGCGGTCGAGTTTCAGTCTCCGACAGTGGTCAGTCCCAGTAAGGTAGGAATACAGCGTAGAATATACTACCATATTAGGCAAGCGTCACATTTAAGCTTTCGGCATTTCCGCATGGCTGAGTGGATGACCCACATACGCTGCACGTGACAATATAAGGATACCCTATAACTATTGGGGAGTACATCTCGTCTGTGGACAATGCCGTATCAGGGAAATGCTATGAAGTCTAAGAGTGGCTTTGTAACTCTTTGGGATGATGTCCTCTTCGAGTCACGTGCAATGAGCTGCAGCCGTCCAAGCCCAGCTTGCCGTCACATGTACAGTACTAACGTATCCAAGAAAGAAGACTGGTTTTATCTGCCAATTAGAGAGAGGTGACATGGGATCCAGATCTCAATTCTCTTTGAGAGAGGTTGAGGTGCGTTAGGATGGAAACGAAGCCAAGACTGATGCATAGTAGGTAAGTCAATCGGCAGATTGATGTTATTACGGGATAGCAGGATGGAGGTTCATACAATATACAAACCGAAGGCTTAAGTTGATGAGAAGCAAAACTCATAGTCGAATTCATCTTAAAACACTATGCAGTCGACATCTAAGTAGCGCTTCGTCGGTTGAATATGATTTGCATCGTTGGTGTAATAGACGTCATCCAAACGGTCTCTTTAGGCTCTATGAATCTCTGGTAAACGAGCGAAGAGCAGAATAGACTACACGCAAGCACTAATCTCAAGTCTTAAGCCGTAGATAATGCATCAGGCCTGATGAATACAGACTTTTGTCTGATATTAACAAACACCGATCAGGTGATTATGTCCAGACAGGTCACAAGCTCAGAACACGCACGCGTTTGGCGGGGTGAAACACCTCAAGTCCTGGCCTTTGCCGCGTCATACAATGCCTGGATGTCGTCTTTCCACATCTTCTCATCTACACGCTTTAGTCTCCGATCATAAGTCAACAGACCATTCACTTCGCCTTCTACATCGGTTGTTTGCGTCCAGATCCCTCCACTGCATGAAAACCGCGTGATTTGATCTTTGAGCTCGCTCAAAAGGAGGTGGCTACGGTAGTTCCAAATGTCAAAATTATCGGCCATCTCGTAAGTCTGGTTGATTGCGTTGATGGCGTCGATGTTGTTCCACAAGCTACTTCCATCAACTGACTGATTGTTCCTGTGGGAGCGATAGACTTACTGCTCGATAGAAACATTTGTGCCAACACCGCCGAATTCACCCTGGATTGCGATTCTGCTTGGGTCATGCGGAATTGACTGTATGGAGTAGAACGGCGTGCCACATTGAGGGTATGAGTAATGATGATTGTCGCTGAAGTCGCCATGCCCGTGGTCAATCCATCCGGACGTCGCATCAACCAGCCTTGTGGGATCCAACTGGCGAACTCGCTCCGTTAACTCGATCTCCGGATAATAGTCCGTTCGCTGACCCCAGCCTTCGTTATAGATTACCTGAGACTGTCAGTGAAGAATCGAAGGATAGTGTTATGAGGAATATACCCATGAGAAAATGCTGGGGTAGCTCCTGTGCTGCTTTACAAGTAGCTCTAGCTGTCTGTTAAATTCCTCCTGCTGGGCAGCGTCTGGCAAAATGGTTTGGTCGTTGCAGTTTGACAGTTTTCGCGACTGCAATGGTCGGGGGGAGGGCATATCTTGAACGACCAGAAGACCGATTTCATCGCAAGCCCGGTAGAAGAGGGCCGGCTCGACTTTGATCTGAGGTACTCGGTAAGCAATGCACGCCCCGATATAATGAATACTTACGTGTTTGCGAAGCATATTGAAACCCAGGCTCTTCAGAAAGTGCAAGTCATACACCATCGCTTCCCGATTTGGGGGAGTGTAGATACCATCCGGCCAATAGCCTTGGTCAAGCGTACCAAAGACAAATGTAAACTCGCCGTTTATCAAAGGCCGCAAGATACCATTGACAGTTCCTTTCGATATAGTACGGAAGCCGGTATAACTCTTGACCTCGTCCGCTCCCATCTTGACGCTAATGTTATACAGAGTCGGAGAATCAGGCGACCACAGTTTCGGAGACTCAACCTTGAAACTGAAGGGTTGGTCGGATGTACCCTTGTGGGATGCAACTTTCTTATCTGAGCCGCCATCGAAGACTGTAATGTCCACTGGTGTCGACTTTCCACTGGCACTGACGGCGGTTACGTTGACTTTTACTGTCAGTTTCCAAAGGAATAATCTTAGACCCACTTTCACGCACCTTGACCGTCCATCCCAGCACTAATGTCCAACTCCGTGATATAGTTGGCTGGAGCCGACTCAATCCAGACACTCTGCCATATGCCGCTGCAGGGCGTATAGAAGATGTGGGCTGGGATGAGTCTCTGTTTGCCAATTGGTATAACATAGTCGCCGCTGTCAGTGGGGTCGTGCACGAAGACCAACCTGGTAAAGTCAGCTTTGGAAATGAGGCTGGGCTAAGTTTCTCACAATTCATTTGCGCCGTCGAAGGAGACAAATTGCGTGATGTCCAGGGTAAAGGAGAAATATCCTCCCCGATTGAAGCCAGCCTGCTTCCCATTGACAAAGACGGTTGCCTCATAGTCCACAGCACCGAAGTTCAACAGCACGTTCTGGTGTTTCCATCCCTTGGGTATCGTGAAAGTTGTGGACAGCCAGGAATAAAGAGTGTGGTTTCCTTGGATTCCTGCACGGTGGTCAATTCTCTGCTTATTCAATCCAAAGGAATGGCATTACCTGATAGAGCACTCTCCAAGCAGGATGGAATTAGGACCTCATTGGTCAGGGCTTGCCCAAACGGGGGAGCTTGGACAGCTTCCAGCCCAGGTGCATTCTGATACTGCCAGATCCCGTTCAAGTTCTGCCATTCAGACCTCTCCAACTGAGGTCGAGGATACTCGGGCCATGGATTGGTACCGACTTTACTGGTCCAGTCTGTGTCTAGGGGTGGGACCTTGGGTTCATACCTTGCAGTCTGCCGAGCATGATTATGATGACGACGCTCTTCAGAGACATTCGCCAGTACCCTACCGGCGAGCAGTAGGGGAAGAAGTTTGTTTAAGAAGAACATATCTGTCGATCACAGCTAACCTCCAATCAATGAGAAAATTTCCGCGATTGACACTGCATGAGCTGAGCAGTCCTTGCAATGCCTGCATGGATTGACATGATGTATATATACAATTTTCACTGGCCTGACCGCCAGTCTTCATGTCCCTAACTCCATGCAGCGCGAAATGATGACAAAACATCCTTTCTCGAGTCGCTACTATCGCATGACCGCATCTCCGCACAATCCAAGCCTTTAGCATTGTAACCCTTGCATGCGAACATACAACAAGCGGTACGATGACCCCGCAACAGTGGGACTCTCGGGGAAATCGAGAACCGAAAATCGACAGATAGCAGCTGATTCCAGCCTGGACGCAAGACACCAGACAAAGAAGAAGGATTCGGTGACTTGATCTACAGGATTTGGGCCGTTTTTGCATGCTTGGCGACATTAGTGATGCGGGGGGGATGAGGATCGACCTCTCGGAGGGCAGATTGGGGCTCTCCATGGACCCTAGCACTGGGTCTATAGTGACTTGTCAACCAAGTGAAATGCACGGCCAGATGCCAACGCAGAACATCTGTCGATAGAGCCATTCCTACTCCTTGATCCCCCTCTCTTTCTGGTTTCGCTGTGATGAGTTGTTGATTCGACCCCGGTGATTACCTAAGCCAAGCCCTAACTGCATACAGAAAAGGGGGTGTTTATATGCAAGATAGTCGGGTTGCTGATCTTCGCGCATCGCACAAATGATGCCGTCATTGGTCGGACAAGACAGGAAAGTTACAATAGCACTTCCTTAGGGCAACCAAGATCTGCCAGCTGTTTACCCCGCAAACACCGCCGAGCTTATCCTGAGTCAGTTTCTGGTCAGAATGCGGGAAAATATTCGACAGAGCAGAGATGCTTAGTCTTGGTCGACTGCCATACACCTGCTCGAAGAATCTAGATTGCCACGTCAGACAGCAGCAGGGATAAAAGAGAGCAGAGCCGGCATGACAACTTGACCTGAATGTTTGGCCATCACCCCTCTGTCAGTTCACCGTGAGAGGCACGAGGTTGAGGGGGTTTGCCCCGATAACTCCACGAGTGAGGGTTACGTCAATGTGGAGCATTAGACTACAACCTTGAACCGGGAGAAGAAATGAACGGGGTCTCCGATATGCTTCATGGACTTGGTGACTTGTGTCTCATGACTTCTACTTTTCACTAGTGCCGTCAGAGATAATCCGAAGGATACACTGACCTCCCTCTTCTAAGCAATATGCTAACAAAGGCAGCATGTGACACTATGAGATTTACATTGACAGCACGATTTGTAGTGAAAGCATCTATCCTGTATCCATATATACTCCAACATCGAGGTTGACATTGGATCAAAGCCCACAAATGCGACTTGGTGGGTCTCCCCAGAATTATATACTTCACACTGGCAGGGAGAATCAGAAGATTTTCCCGGATAAAGATCAATTCTAGAAGAGAACCCAACTGTGGCCTAAACGTTCTGTGCTTTTTTTCCTCTCAAACTCACTGGCACAGTGAAACAGCATCAGATCAGAACAAGAGCATGGCGAGAGCAACGAGAGGAGTGAGGATACTTTCTTCTCAGGTCCACTTCTGGAGCGGATAGGGGGTTGGCACCTGCTTCTAGGCATAGCCAAACTGCTCATCACTTTGAGCACGTTAGTTTGATTGTGAATGGAACCGCTGGTCCTTGAGCGAGAACTCTTTGGAGTCATTTACTGGCTCGCGTTTGCGAAGTTCGGTTACCGGCCTTGAGATAGTGCTTCAGAGTTGAACCTTTCCTTGCCCATGATCGAGATTGGGATGAAGAAATTTGCTATCTGAGCGACAGGGGCACTCTCAACTGGAGGCAGCTGAGACCTTTCTCTTTCCACTGGTGTGTTGTGTCAGTGACTGAGGCTGCGGCAGAATATTGAACGCGTTGCTCAGAGTTGAATCGACCTCTGCCGTACTTGCGTCTCCATGTTCAGTGAGCAGATGACAACATTTTTGACAGAAGATATTATTCAGCTGTCCGTCCTTAGACGTTCCCGTGAACTGTTTGCATGGATAGGGGATGGTGAAACTCCCGAACGTGATGGTAAAATTGCGGCTCCCAGACATAATTCGCAGACCTGGGAACTTCGGAGCCAGCAAAGTCACGGTAACTTCTCCATGAATGCTGGCCATCTGGTCGAGCCTGGGGCCTCAAAATCTGTATACCATTGTACCTGGTAGCCCCACAATGATTTTCGTCTTCTGTTCCTGTGGGAGTTGTAGAATTGGGTCAAAAGAGTCCCGTCTCCATAGCAGGGGTACGAAACGAAGTCACGGATTGCAATCGCTTAACGTGTCTAGTTGCCATAGACCCAGAATTCCCGGGTTCCTGATTTATAGCCCTCTAACACAGCATCAGTATCCTCAGCATGCTCCCCTATGATTGGACTCCCTAGGAGATGGCTGAGCTCCCAATCCTGCATTCTGGAGTCGATTTTGCACGAGGGAGTTTATCAAGTTCTTGGAGAAAGGTAAGGGCAAGGTCAGGATCCGTGTCACCCGATCCCACTTGGACGTAAGCCTTAATAGCCTCGCGAAACTCGGCGGAATTGGACCCAGAATTTCTTTGATTGAAATCGTTGAATGACCGAATGGTACCGGGGGGAGAGCAGGCTTTATTTCCGCCACGTTATAGTTGCATAAGTGAAACGTAGCATTGTATGGGAGAAGCCAAGAGACTTCTGTAGTTTCAACATCCCATCAGTAACCCTAGGAGGCCGTAGCTAAACTTGAGGTTGTCTGCACCGCCTTTAAGTTCGTAGAATTCAGAGCTGGCATGACACTTGCTATCAAGGTTTCCGTTTCTCACTATAAGAAAATCGACTGTACTTGCTTGTTGGCGACCGATCATCGCTCAGTCTGGGGAATTTGGCCGTGGGGATAGTAGAACTATAGTTCAGAGTCTGGGAGATAACTCTCCATGATTTGTCATGGCAGTTGCCTTTTGCGTCGTCGTGTGCTAAAGTCTACCCTCAGCTTGGTTGTATAAGCCGTCCACTGAGCGCCCAGACCGAGGGGCCAGATCTGCAATAGCTTGTACAAAGGAAGCGATGGAATTGTTGACACTGGCTTCGCCAGCACTCCAAACACGTTCCCAAAGAGCATCGCGGTCTTCCATCCGGGTGGCAATATCGTGATTAAGCCTCGTCACGAATCACTTGCTGTTGCTGTATAGCTGGAACCCTGGACAGTCCATAATTTCCTCCAAGGTGGATTCCAAATCGGCTGCGTCTGTCTGGTGGTGACATCCTCTTCACCGAAGACCACATCTTTCAAAGCAGAGCGCAGAGGATTTGTCCAGATATAATGAGTTTCAAGACCAATCCTGGTAGAAAGCACAGCAAAGCAAGGATGAAAGGTCAATGTTGCAGAATAGGCAAGATGCAGTATGAGATGGGGGGTGCAGCTGGTTCAAAAAGAGCTGGTCTCTGAGACAATAATAATCTTCTCTTTGTAAAAAGATGCTTAACGCCTCCCTACATGCAGGAGATGATATTCACTACATTTCTAGAATAGATAGTGAATTACTCAGGTGATAGCAGCTAAAAGGGTCCTAGAGGAGTATAGCCTTTAAAGTAAGGTTAAATCACATATGCTACCTTAGTCATGATGTTTGCTGGAACCCTTGATATCAATAGTCTTGGAGGAGAAAGATAACTTCCATATCTTCCCAACAAAAGCCATCTGGGGTAATCAAGCTCATGTTTAGCAACATTCCTGATGTTAGCAGTCCATAACCTGATTTTGAATGCCTCACTTCGTATGATGAAGCACCATTGCTTTGTTCTCGCAGCCAACAGTCAGGCGGGTCCATGCCACGTATTGAAGGAATTGACCGATCAAGATGGGAGTAATTCATGGCGAGCGTCGCTTTCCTATTGTCACATCCAACACTTGACCATCGGACATGCCAGTCTTCCCGAATTGCTTGAAGAGTGATGCTATCATGTTTGTTGCCTCAAAATCTATGTCCCCTGGTTGATTCGTCCGGTACTGATAGTTCGAAGGTGAGGAGAATCCGTGGAAAATCACTTCGATGTCCTCGACTAATAATTCATCCTCCGCTCGACAGAATGCACTGCTATCATCCATAGACCAGCGGATGAAGCTGGGGTCGAAGAAGGGTATTGAGGCCAAAAAGGTGCCCGAACTAATTTTACACTGCATAATATTTCCACCGACAATAATGATAGACTAGGCGGTGGAAAGTCTGGCCGAGACGGAAGACCAGGGGCTAAGCCTAATTTGCTTGGTGGTTGTGCCCTGATCCCAACTCCGCCTCGTTTTCTGAGTCGTCCATTGGCTAGTAATGGCCCGGTCCCACTCAATCCAATCCAACGACCAACCAATGGTCGAGACATCGTACATAGGACTCCCGATTGGGGAAAAGTCGAGCGTCTTGGCAAAAGGGCGATACTTGGCAGTTGGCACAGCTGAGAACCTTCGACGTCGATCTTCAGGCCTGAGGCGTCATCCTCACAAAGAGACTGGCCGGCCCTTCTCTTCTTTCATCTCTGCCGTCGATTTCTATCAGCATCCATCATGCAGAAGTCCTCACTCCGTCTCAGCAATCATCACCAGAGACGATCCCGCAATTATTACGGGTTGAAACACCTCTTTAGCCGAGCGTCCTGCGATGTCCTCGTTTTGGTTACCTTCCGATACCGCCGTTAATTTCAGAGCGCATGCTCTCCAAGCATGTTCTGGGGTCGTCAGGAGAAGCTGTCCGATGTCTGGCTTCAGCTTACGGGTGAGACACTAATCCTTGTGTGAAAGCAGTGTTTGTTCAGCACATTTCGTTGACCACTACCTACATTCAGCTCGCTATCTCCGAACTTTCGACCGATCCCAGTCTCGTCATGCATCCCCTAGTCCAACCCCCGGGTGGCGGCCGTTCGCCTTGCGCCCGACATATCTCTCCATACTCGGTATTCTCATGCTGATAATGTTGGCGGTGCTTGAGGCACTACGTCGATATACCGATCGCTATGGAGGCCTCGTCTTCTACCAGGATACCACAGACCTTTCCAGCCGCGCCACATTCGCCTACAACTACGTGCCCGTTATCGTTGCCCTGATACTCGTCACATCCTGGTCTTTCATCGACTTTGACGTCCTGCGGCTTGAGCCGTATTTCCAACTTTCTCGCCCCGAGGGTACTCCAGCCACGACGTTATTCATCAATTACAATTTTGGTCAATCGTTTCTGACCCCACTTACTTCGGCCAAGAGGGGTCATTGGGTCGTGTTGCTCGTATCACTTCTCACAGTGTTGATGCGGATCTTCCTACCCGCTCTGCAGAGTGCGGTGTTTGAGTTGAGGGAAATAAGCATCCTGAGCGACGAAACCATGCGAACATGGCCGGATCTTGTGGACCTCGCTAGCCAGGCTCGGTGGATTACCGCACAGGAAAAGAACAATTGGGACTTTTCGACTCTCTCGGCAGGCAGTCCCTTTCAGAAGACTCGCTCTGCCAAGTACGCCGTGGCCCCTGTGGAAATTCCCACGGACGACTTCCGAGAAAGCACGGTATGGACACTGAACCAAACGATATACTGGTCAGAACTTTCTTGCCAGGATGTCATGGTGAATGACAGCCTGGAAGTTTTCGCAAACGGGACGACGGACGGACTGCCAATCATCTCATGGAACGTCACGGGGGTCCAGCTTCAGCAACACGGCCAGGATCAAAGGTGTACCCTGGACTTTCAATACAGCAACATATTCTTCCCTTCGAGTGATTATGTCCAGATTCGCTACTGGGAGCCAGTCTGGACGGACAACGTTTCCCAGTCATTCACCACCAACGGTTGCAACCCGTTTGATCTCTACGGCATACTCATTGGTGTCAACGCTACGCGCGCCACGGGCCTCGATGCGGATGACATGTCACTATCTGGAGTCACCTTCGCATCCTCGGCAACGCTTTTTGCCTGCAGTATCGACTATCGCAAGGCCGACGCAAAGCTCCAGCTTCATGCCAATAGCTCCATCACCTCAGTTGACATACACCCCGGCACCACCACCAAATTAACCGACGATCAGTTCAACATTGACGAGTTTCAGGGCTTCCTGTCCCATAGAGCCCCTTATACCAGCGACATGCTCTTCTTTCGGATCAACGAGACCAGCGGCCAACGCGAAGTGACGGAGTTGCCCGTTATTAGTCAAGAAATAGGTGATTTGGAGCCTGTCGTAGTCCTGGACTCGTCAGACGTCATGACAAAAGAAGAGTTTGAATCCAAGGTTACGCGGGGCGTTAAACAGACGTTTTTGCTTACCATGGGACGACTCTTCAATCTTGACGAAGCCCCGGCCGTCGTACCGGCGACACGGCTCACCCGGCAAGTCACACTCGCGGTGGTCGATTTCGCAGCTTTATGGTCCGAGGTCATTCTTGGTCTGGGCGTCGTTATCACCTTAGGGCTGTTACACGTGTACAAAAACCGGGAAAACGTGCTTCAAAGCGACCCGTGCTCCGTTGCAGCCATGTGTAGCATTGTGACAGACCTGTTTGGACCCTCCAACATTCTCGCCGATCCTCGGTTTGAGTTTCATCAGTATTCCACGCGACAACTCCGTCGGCTTCTTCGGAATTGCTGGTTGCGCTGGGAACCTGGCCCGGGCCCGAATGGCAGACGCCTCGCAATCGTCACCTCAGACGGCTCTCCGATCCAGTTGGACGAGCAGCTGCGCAGGCGCGCTGATCCGATGCCACACTTTCTCGTCATTCCCTTTTTTATTATTGAATTCCTCTTGCTCGCCGCGGTGATCACAGCCATGAGCTTGGTCGTTGCTTCACTGACCCGGGATGGCAAGTTTCGACATCTTACGCAGTCCGACTCGAGCTTCTTTCAAGTGGTTCTGTCAGTTTTGCCGTCCATAGTTGCTTCGGCCGTTGGTTCTCTCTGTACCTCCATTCACCGCAATGTCAGCATCCTTGAACCTTGGGTGCACCTTCAGCGCGGCAGGGCTACGGCGGAGGCCTCATTGTCAATGAACTACTCGTCGCAGACGCCGTTGGCAGTGTTGGTGAAAGCCGTACGACACCGTCATATTTTGTTGCTCCTGATATCAGTGGCATGTGTCGCCAATACGGCTCTTACCGTCGTTGCTGGTGGCTTATTCACACAACAGATGACTAGCTCCTCTCTCCCTACCTCGTCACTGGTCACCAACTACAGCAATGCTGTTTTTCAGCAAACCGATTTTGCGGCAGACTTCACTGAATACGACATCATCCAGACCAGTATCACCACCGGAGTGTCGATACTCCCATGGACGAGTGCCAATCACTCTTTTGTTCCCATCACGATCAAGGATCCGGATTCTGATGCCCTGTACGGGGCCAACACGCTGGGTATCGGAGCGGACCTGGCATGTCAAGAGTTGTCTATCGTCGATAGTCTGGTTGTGAATCCCCAGAATGGATCTACGTATTGGGAATATCAGACTTTTGACGATCCCAGTAGGCACTGTAAAGTCGACATGACTATGCTGCAGCATCCACATGAGGACATTACACTTTCCATTCACTTTTTGTCTCCGGTGGTTACCGAAGACGAAACGTCTGATTGCCAGACATCCACTGTGGTGGTTCTGGGTCGGTGGAATTACACTGCCGGATCGCCCATAACCGACCGAAACACTATTGCTCTGCACTGCGAACCCAGAATCAAGTTGGAAAACTACTCGATCACCTTCGATACGAAAGGCCAAATCCAAGATTTGAGCCCCATTGCCGGTACAGCCATCACATCTGGCCCCATGTACGACAATGCGACCATCAGCATGGGACAGTTCAACAAGGTCTTTGCGGCCATCCCGCAGAGCTACATCAGCAATTCGACTTATGATCGCAAGACATACATCACGTCGTATGACTGGGCCGGTTTCCTAGTTGCACGTTTGTACAGGCGTCGAGATCCGGGGTTTACGTCTCTTAACCCTGAAGACCTTATGAACATGTCCAGAATCGTCTATCAGTGGGTCTATAGCACTTATTTTACCATCTGGAGGGGTATTTACCTGCAGCCGCTGGACAAACCGCAAGCCGCTCCGAACTCGACGGTGATCTACAACACATGGACTATGGTACCGTCCATCCCCTCTCTAGCTATTGCATTGATGATCATCGCCCTCGATACGTTGATCGTTCTTATTGTTTTTGGCACACGCCGGGGCCGCTTCAAGGGTCCCCGCGTGCCACGGTCCATTGGTGCAGTGATGCCCTGGATTGCTCACAGTCGCATGCTCCAGGATTTCCGCGGCACCTATTTTTGGACAAGCATGCAGAGACGGATCCACCTTGACCGACTGAACAAGCGGTACGGATTCCGGATGTTCCTCAATGCGGATGGTCACTGGCGCTATGCGGTGGACGAGGAACCGCCCGAGGACAAAGCGGCAGGTGAATTCGAGGATCAGTTCAAGATGTCGGGGGCTATCCAGCTGCGTGATTTAGGTACGGACACTTCTGACTCGAGCTCTGAAGCAAGTCCTGAGGCAGCAAGCCTTGAGGCAAGAAGCCCTGAGGCAACGAATCCGACGACCCGGGTGGTCGATCGGCAGGAATAATGATTAGCACACGATCTGTTCATGTATCATAGATAGGGAATATATATCCTGATATAAATGGAGTTGGGGATATCAAACGGATGGAATATGTATATACTATAATACCAATTCAATCACCTGCATTGTCATTACCAACAACGTAGAGAGGCTTTATATAGAGCAGCTAATTCAGTAAGTTGATTGAATTACCGGAAACAACCGAGATCGGCCTATGCCAACCCCGCAATCGGCGTCAATTTAACGATGAATATGGAACACCAGGTACAGCGCACCAAACGTACCATATCACAACATGGAAAAAGAAAAGATTAACGTCCTCCTCTATGGTCTAGGAGCGTAAGTCTACCTGAATATATTCTCTATAGAATACTCATAACCCCAGGATCGGCTCCTTCTACGCCTTCATTCTGCACCGCACCAACCGTGTCCGCCTGACAGTTGTCGCTCGATCAAACTACGAAGCTGTCGTCAAGAATGTAAGCAGTAAGCATCTAGCACCTCTGAAACTTACCTACTAATGATACTAGGGCATCTACATCGACAGCGCCAACCACGGCCAGCACCGCTTCCATCCTGATCTGGGTAGGCTGCCTGCATCGCTATCACAACCTCTAGTCTAACCTCAACTGTAGTGATAAAGTCACCATCTGAAGTAACACATCCATATCACTACATCATCTGCGCGAACAAGGCCATCGATCAAGACGCCGTAGCCGCGCAATTGGGCCCTGCGGTAGACGACAACACCACGTTCGTGATCATCCAGAACGGAGTGGGGAATGAGGAGCCCTTCCGACGGGCATTTCCGGCTTGCTCGGTTTTGACCTGCGTGGTATGCCCCGACTCACCCCTCACTTTGTAGTTGCTGCTGCTGACGTGTCTAGACATGGGTAGGCGCAACGCAGACCTCACCGGGTGTGATCACGCACATCAAATCCGAGGATCTGCAGATTGGGCTCTTCCCGAATCCTTCGGTTGAAGTCTCGGTTGAGAACTCCCGTCTGGAAGAGTTCACGTCCTTCCTGACGGTCGGGGGGACGAAGTTCCAGGTTGTGGAGGATATGCAGCTCCCCCGGTGGGAGAAAGTAGTTTGGAACGCGGCGTGGAACTCGATTACCGCGCTGACGATGGTTGATACGCAGACGTGGTTGACTTCGTCTGCGGACGCGGCGCCGTTGACGAGGCGTCTGATGGGGGAGGTTATTGCTGTGGGCAGGGGGTGTGGTGTTAACCTTGACGAAGGGCTTGTGGATAGATTGATGGACAAGATCAATGCGTTACCCGGGATTGGGAGTAGTATGCAGGTTGATTGTCGGAATGGGAGGCCGATGGAGATTGAGGTTATTTTGGGGGTTCCGTTGCGGAGGGCGAAGGAGTTAGGGATTGATACGCCAGTGTTGGAGACGTTGACATGTTTGCTACGGGCTGTGGATGGGCGGTTTCGTTGAGCTTGTGCAGCAGAGACGCTGGGCCGAGGGCACTGAGTGCAGCATCAGAATGTCCAGTTGCAGCATGAGCTTCCCTTGGAGGATGATATTCAGGGGGAGTATTCGCCGTTTCCGCAGTTTGATCCGGTACAGGAAGATTTTGTTTTTTCAGAGCCGCATGAGAGTCATTTGGGATGCAGGTGCGTGCCAATAACCGGGTTTTGGCTCCGGATGCTGGGGCTGAGTTGGTGAAGGCCATTGCGAGACGGTGGAGATGTTTGCCAATAATCTGGATGGTCCTGACTCGGCCCCTCTGGTCTTAGTATCTTCCTTATCTAGAAATATAGATTGCCTGCTACTCTAGTTAGAAGGACTATTCGATCGTCGTCTTGGTCATAGACAAATCACTAGATTCAGAACTAGATACAGTCTTGAGATTTGAACAATATCCAAGCTGAGGACAAAATGGTACTCTACTCGCAATTGAGGAGACCCTTTCGAAAGTGAGCCCTGTAGGTTAGCAGCAAGAAAGCAAATTAGGGGGATTAGAAAGCCCCGTATCAGTACGCCACCGCAAAAACTGACCATTGTACGGCGCCAATCCTAGTCGGGTGGAGATGAAGCTATCCACAAGGGTACAATATATCTCAGCATAAATTCAAAATGCAATAGACTTTTGAGGGATGCCAATTACATTCAGATCGCGGCATTTGACATGAATTAGATTATTAGCAAAACTAGACACATCAAACCGGCGTCTGGCTAAACCTCCGTGGTCCAATTGTGAGTTATTATCATCAGGACAAAGGATTGCCAGTGCCCTGCCAAGAAGAAGGCGTGTTTGAGAATATCTCCGCCTGCATTTCTGAAACACGATCCATCGAATATCGCTGAAAGCTTCAATGAGAAATTGACCAAAACATGCAGTGGATATGGGCCCTTGCCTTGTTGGCCCTCCTGCTTTATTTCCACCAGCCATTCAGCGCAGGCGCTTAACGAGGGCGTTATCCTAAGCGCTCTACTTTACAAGATTGCAAGACCCTTGGCTGACCCTTCATCATTGATTCATTGTTACATTTTCTCTGTGGATTTGAAAGTATTTAAACAAGATGTGAGCCGATCATGTTGATCGTTGATGCAAGTTTTCCTTCTCACATCATTCTCATCTGCTTGACGCAGTTGTCATTCCTTTTACCCACTTATTCATTCCTTTGATCAACAAAATGTATAGAAACTTCCTCCTTGCAGTGCTGGCACTGCTTTCTGCATCTGCTCATGCTCATACCACCTTCACGACCCTCTACGTTGATGGTGAGAACCAAGGCGATGGTGTGTGTGTGCGCATGAACCGCAACCCAAGCAAAGCGAGCTTCCCCATTGAGCCTCTCTCTAGCAAGGACATTGCATGTGGTAAGTCCTCCAATACCATGGCTTTGAGTATCAAGACTAACAGAAAAAGGATATGACGGTGAAAAAGCCGTCGCGCGCGTCTGCCCCGCCAAGGCATCCTCAACCCTCACCTTCGAGTTCCGCGAATACGCCGATGGCTCGCGCTCGGGCTCTATCGACGAAAGCCACAAGGGTCCCTGCGCCGTATACATGAAGAAGGTCGACGACGCGACGGCCGACAACAACGCTGCCGGTGACGGGTGGTTCAAGATCTGGCAGTCGGACTATGATGCAACTGCCGGCAAATGGTGCACCGAGAAGATGATCGAGAATAACGGGCATATCTCCGTGCAGATCCCGGCTGATATCGAGGGTGGATACTACCTTGTGCGGCCCGAGTTGCTGGCTCTGCATGCCGCGCAGGATAACCCGCCCGATCCGCAGTTCTATGTTGGTTGTGCGCAGGTGTTTGTGCAGTCGACTGGGACGGCTAAGCCGGCCACTGTCAATATTGGCGAGGGGACATATGATTTGAGTCTGCCTGGTATGACGTATAATATCTACAAGACGCCGTTAGAGCTGCCGTACCCTATGTATGGGCCGCCGGTGTACCAGGCTGGTAAGACTGTGTCTGCCAGTCCTGCCCCTACCAATACTGCTTCTGCCAATGCTGGATCCGACAAGTCTGATTCTGCATCTGCCAATGCTGCGCCTGCCCCTGCTGCGTCCGGCAGCACTGGATCCGAGAAGTCTGCCGATACTGAGTCGGCCATTACTACGCCTACCAATGCAGCATCTGCCAATACTGAGTCCGGGAAGTCTGCCGATACTGCATCTGGGAATGCCGCATCCACCAACACCGAATCCGAGAAAACAGAATCAGCCCCCGCCAACGTCTGCAAGAACAAGACCAAGAAGAACAAAAAGAAGAAGCGCGCGATGCTCGTCCAGAACAAAGGCCTCAAGCCAGAAGGCTGTATCCTCGAACGAGACAACTGGTGCGGATTTGAAGTGCCCTCGTATACAGACGAGCAGGGCTGCTGGGCTGTAAGTTCCTTTCCCCTTCATTTCATCAAAGAATCAAACTGACAAAATAGTCATCCAAAAACTGCTGGGATCAAGCCGACGTATGCTGGAACACGGCTCTCCCGACCGGCTCAGCACACTGCCAGATCTGGTCCGACAAATGCACGGCGCTCGACGCATCATGCAGCAACAAGGTGTTTCCTGGTCCGCCGAATGCAGGCCAGGATCTCACGCCGAAGAAGGCTTCGTTGGTGGGGTCTATCAAGGTATTTGGGCGGGGTGTACGGTCGCATATCAAGAGGAGGAGACATGCTCATGTTTAGACTTGCGTCGATTTGATTATCCATCAGAAGCACATATCATATCAGGGAAGAACGTGAACGACTGCCATAAATATAGACACATTCTATGACTAGAAACTGATATTGGCTATATAAAGTTCAAACTTCGGCAACTTTACTTCAGATCCCAATCTAACTAACAGCAACGGTCCACGACGCTCCAACAACTAAGACAATATTAGTTGGTCTGCGGAAGTGGTGTCCTCCGATCAATGTCTAGAAGCGGTGCCCTCAAGGGTCAGCTTGGGAGTGCACTTGCTATTTTGATTACGGAGGATGTCTGGTATAATCTTTCGTCTTAGCCCAGAGCCGTAAAGGTGACAGCACGGGTTGATCAACTTGATCATGCTGAATTGGATATAAGCATGTATGTACAAGCTGACTGCATTCAATTGACTTTGAAACCCCCCGGACACAGACGTTGGAAGACACCTTGAGGATCATACTTTCTCGCAGTCCGCCGCAAAAATGCTTGTATTTTATCCCCATAGCTCGCTATAGGGTCCTGCCAGGGCGCACCATGGTTGAGGTCAATATACGGATTATATGCACAAGCTGCCTTTGCGGCGCCGATGATATTGTTCGAGAGCTTCTCAGCCGCCGCGCTGACGATGGGATACTCCTGCGAATGGTTGAATGTAGCAGATAACAGTGCCAGGACGAGACCTTGTCGGGGTACGTCTAATCCCAGGACATTCCCGCCTTTGATAGCACCTTGGTATGCTATAGCAGGGACGATTGGCTCAATGCTAATGGACCACTGGATGCTGGGGATAGCTGAGACTTCGGCGATGCTCGCATTCCACATGTCAAAGACTTGCTTCAGCAGGTCAAGATTGTTCTCAAAGGTGACTGCGAATGTGAGTTGTCTACTGTTGTTAGAACGTACTTGTCATTGTTGTCAATGTGATGTCTTACTGGCGAGAGTTTGGGGACAGCGAACCTCCCTCGGCCGCGAGAGCTTCAAGTGTCATTACTTTCGTGCTGGCCATCGTTTGAGGCTGGATCGAGGTAAATTGTCTGAAAGGCGCTGGGTTCTCTTCTGGACTGGCATAGGCTAATAGATTGGTGAGCATAGGGCCCGTGGCTGGGGTGAATGCAAAGTTGTGAATGAGCCCGGCCTTGACATCGTAGTTCGGATCGGATGTGAAGCGATAGAATGCGTCCAGCTGTTGGTCAAGTGTGCTCACTGGGTAGTAAATGTGTCCTCCCCATACCTGCCCTAGAGGAAAGGTCCTGAAGATGAAGTTCGTTACAATACCGAAATTATTTGCCCCTCCTTTCAGAGCAAGCCAAAGATCGTGCTCATTGTCCCTTGTCGCGTTGACAATCCTGCCATTTGCGAGGACCACCTGAAACTCGACAACGTTGTCACAGGCAAAACCAGCTTCCGTAGCAAAGTAGCCGAAGCCGCCTAGCCTGTCAGATAGGATAAATTCATGTTGATGATAGACTTACCACCCAAAGTAGTCCCCCCGACTCCAACAGGACTATCTCTCCCTCCTGGTACAGACACTCCGAGTCTGTCCAGGACTGCATACACCCTTCCCCATCGCTGTCCAGGCCCGACTGACACGAGGCTTCCGTCCGTTGAGGGAACAACCCAGTTCAAAGCACTGAGGTCAATAGCCACGCCGTCCTGGATGTTCGCACTCCCGGCAATTGCTCCATGGCCACCACTGCGAACAGCAAACTTGCAGACCTTGGGAACAAGAACTCGCAGCGCTTTGGAAACGTCCTCAGCGGAAGTCGCTGACAAAACGCATGAAGGGCTTATCAGCTGCTCTTGCTGGGACCAGTATGAATTTACCGAGGATTCATATGCCGTGCTATTTGGATATAGTACCCTTGAGCCTAGGATACTCGTCAAAGCCTGACACTGCACAGAGTTAGTAAGTAGTATACCAGGAAGAAAAGTCGCCTACACAAGTGGATGTTGCAAGTGCGAACGAGGGTAGAATGGAGATAGCAAATAGAATGCTACCAACGTCCATTCTGACTAGTAGGCCACGAGGAGGCCACGAGTATATCCTTGTCTGATGGCGGAGGTGAACTGCAATTAAGGGAGGGGAAAAAGGCGTAAGGAAATCAGAGCCAGACACATGGACTGCCAACATGACACAGGCTAAGTATAATAAATGACTCCTAGTCTGATCCCGTCGGACTTTCTTGCTTCATCTTCTTTATCTCTTTTTACTTTTTCTCGTATTCATTTCTTTGTCCTCGGATACTAACCTGGCCTTGCAGGATGGAAACCAACCAGCTACCCATCGTCAGCGACAATGCTACCAATCCAGTCGTCGATTCTACTTCTGCCATGAGAATCTGCGTATGTCGATCCTTTGACCCTCAGACCCTCTGCCCGCTTCAACTACTGACTACAACACTGACCACAACAGTGCCTCGCTCTATCCACCATCCTCGGCGACAAAGTCTCATTCCCCCCCACCAATCGCTACAAATCATGCATAGACTCTTATTTCGCACAACAAAACTCCAACCTCCAGCCTCTGTGCATCGTCTCCCCCACCACAGTAGAAGAAGTCTCTACCGCAGTCATCACCATCACAAACAGCAACTGCCAATTTGCCATCCGCTCCGGCGGCCACACCAGCTTCGGCGGCGCATGCAACATCGCCAACGGCATCACCATCGACCTGCGCGCCCTCAATGCCATCACTCTTAGCGAAGATTGCACCACAGTGTCTGTCGGCGTCGGCGCATCCTGGGGTGACGTCTACGCTTTTCTCGATCCGCTTGGTCTTTCCGTTGCAGGCGGACGAGCGGCACAGGTCGGCGTGGGCGGGCTCACCATCGGCGGGGGCATCTCCTACTTCTCGCCGCGGTACGGGTGGACCTGCGACACCGTAACTAATTTCGAGGTCGTACTTGCGAACGGGACGGTCGTGCAGGCGAACGAGAACGAAAACCCCGATCTTCTTGTGGCACTCCGCGGCGGGGCGGCCAACTTTGGCATCGTTACAAGGGTCGATTTCCGTGCGTTTGAGCAGGGGCCTATCTGGGGCGGGACTGTTTACTGTGCCCTTGATACGATTGACGCGCAGCTGCGCGCGTTTGCAGATCTGAACTCGGCGAAGGGGTATGATGAGTATGCGTCGCTGATTACCAGTTTTGGGTTCGCGAAGGGAAAGGGCGCGGCGGTGGTTAATAGCGTTGTGTATACCAAGGCTGAGGAGTGTCCGGCTGTCTTTGAGCCGATTATGGAGATCCCGTCGATGTTCAGTACGATGCGGCTGAGGAGCGTGCATGAGATGTCGCTGGAGCAGGGCTCGTTTGCGCCGAATGGGAAGAGGTATGCATTCTGTCCGTAATTACATGCAGGGAGCACTGACGATGTAGACAATTGTCTGCCGTGACGACACATGCTTCGACTGTCCCCATGCTCAACGCGACGTATCTACGGTGGAGTGCTAGTTTGGCGGCCATCGAGGATGTCCCTGGCATTGTGTGGTCCATCTCGTTGGAGCCGCTCCCACCTGCAATCTATGCTCGGGCTTCTACGACGAATTCTATGGGTCTGTCGGAGGCTTCTGGCGCCCTGGTTGTCACCCTCCTCAATGCTACGTGGGAAAATGAGGCGGATGATGCGAAGGTTGAGCAAGCCGCGCGCGCACTCTTTGATAGAATTGAAGACGACGCGCGCAAGTTGGATGCCTACGAGCCATACGTTTATCTGAACTACGCCGCCGAGTGGCAGGATCCGATCGCTACCTATGGAAAGGCGAGAGTCGAGAAGCTGCAGCGAGTGAGCCAGGCCGTGGATCCAAAGGGGGTCTTCAAGAACAAGACGCCTGGTGGTTTCAAAATTCCTTTCAGTAGCTAGTCATGGAGGCAATCAACTCTTTACACTCTTCTCCAGTTCATCCAATCCCTGCCCATTGCTCATCATCCGATCCTAAACCGTTAGCTCGACACATCACCGAGGAACGTAACTCATAACTCACCAACAACCAGACCGGACACCAGCGCGACAAGATCCTAACAGCAGCACTATTTGGTCCCTTCCAGACCAACCCCCCGCTGCCGCTGCCTTTGGCCCCCAACACATCATCTACAATCGACTCTGCAAACTCCGCAACCGAGCACCCCTTCGGCCCCGCCTGGCCCGTCGCCCACTGCGAGATGACATCCCTAATCGCCGCATAGCGCGAGCCCGCTGGCAAAACCACCCGCGGCTCATTATCATGGAACGAGGTGCTGACGGTGCCCACCATCAGGCAAACAACGCCGACGCCTAGGGGGGCCAATTCCAGCCTAAGCGTCTCGGAGATCTGCATGACGGCCGCTTTGGATGACGAATATACCCCTGCACGATGCCCACATTAACCCATTATCCACCCCAACACGAAACATGCGTCCGAAAGCAACAGAAGAGATGAGAAAAATGAGAAGAGGGGAGGGGATACCAATCCAAGGCGTATTCACAACGGCCCCCACACTGCTGAGATTAACTACCCTCCCCCGATTGGCAACCAGCAGGTCCGCGAATCCCTGTATCATCCGTGCCACACCCCACACATTCGTCTCGTAGACTTGCTTCGCGTGCTCCAGGTCCGCGTCCAGCAGGGGGATGGTATACCCCGCTCCAGCGTTATTGACCAGCACATCCAGCCCGTGGCCGTGATCCTGCACGGCGCGGACGGCGGCGGCGACGGAGGCCGGAGATGTCACGTCGAGCTGCAGGAGGGTGACATTGGAGAGGGTGGTCAGTGGGGAGGGGATTTTAGCGGGTGATCGGGCGGTGGCGAAGATGTGGTGGCCTCGTTTGGCGAGGGAGAGGGCGAGAGCTGCTCCGATGCTGTTGGCTGAGCAGCCGGTTATGAGGATGGTTTTGGGCATTGAAGTCGTATCTTGGAGTTGGACGATTAAGATCGGATGGTGTCTGTTTGAGATTGAGATTGAGATTGACAGTGGATTGTGTCTGCGATGGGGAGATGTTGTTTATGTGATTGCCTAACGAGAACAGGCAGGCGTCTATTATCATTCACTATTATTGTGCTACGGTAAGATAGGAGTTGATTGGATTCTGGCAAGGGTCCCTCTAGTCTCCCTGTTGTTCAATCGTGAGGATCCTACTGACAATCTCCAAAGGAACATCACAGTATACCCAAGATGTCAACCTAAACTGTAACAACGCTTGGCTTCAGCTATAAAGTACAAATAGTGAAGAAGAAAGAGACCTACGAGATGAGCAGATGAGGGGAACAGATCAGGCTGGGAAGACTAACGGAGACTCACCGAGTCTTTGCCCAGTTTGGACTACTGCATCCTGTAATTCCTGTATCTGCAGCTAAGCTCGGCCATCACATCCTGCATCCTGTCCGTGCAAGTGTAAGTGTCGCAAATAAATAACATGTTTCTATTTTAAAGCATGACTATCGCTGCCTGTTTCCATCGAATCATGTCGGGATCCGCGGTAACTAAAGTAGGACGCGGGTTCTACTTGCTTGATTGTTGCCGTTGGTTGGCAGTATTCTCTCGAGAATCCTATCTGATTGACATTATCGAATATCGGAGAAAGTTGAACACGACGCGAGGGGCCAAAATGATGGACTGGACTGGACAGGAAGTTGCAGGGACGGGCCGTCCGTCTGTCTCGAGGCGACGGTCGAGAACAAGTCGAAAGCGTTATCCTGAAGCATGTGAATGAATCATACAATATTAACAGCGATTATCATTACTATTAACAGAAGGTCCCCGACAAGATCCTTGTCTACTCCAACAATACCAGTGATATCATACAATGGAATACTCCCGAATCTCCTGCTCAATGTTGACCTCACGGGAGATTCCCCTTCCCTGCATTGACGGCCGTTCCCCACCCCGTCCCGCCTGTATTTTGGTGTTCGTTGCATAAGCAAAGTCTCTCAGCTCATGGTACTGACCCGTCGTATCGTCCAGGAGATGCGATGGGGACGGTTTATCCTTGGGCATATGATGGTCTACCGTTCCGATGACGGAGCGGCCCCCGCTAGAGCTTAGTCTTGAGCGTAGAGACTTGAGAAGGGCCGATTCGAGGATGTGGCTTCTGAAAAAGGCCGCGAAGAAGGGCATCGAACTGACGATGATGGCGACGTTGTTCTCGACGTTTCTGGTTTGTCATTTGTCAGCGGGGTCTCAAGATGGCTTTCCTGAGCTAGCGTACACGCAGATGAAGAGCGCACTCTGGGTATAGGTGGTGTCAGAGGTGGTTAGCAGCTGAATGCGAAAAACGAGTGCGATGACGCTGGCGACGATACCCCTGCACTACTCAGTATCTCTTCGCGTTTCTGGTATGGGGTTTCACGTACATCATGGCGGTCGAAAAGATGATCAAGAGCTTCCATCGCTTCTTGCGCGGAAGTTGCAGCTTCGAGAGAAGCGGGAGCGGCAGGATGAAGATGTAGATGTCCAGAACCACGGAGAGGGCTCCCTGCACGATACCCCAGTATATCAATTTCTCTGGTCGGTGGTTGACCAGCAGATCCTCCCATGTCTCTCCGATATGCGGTGCGGCGTAGTACGATTCCAGACCGACGCCTGGCCAGTAAAGAAGAAAAGTGAAGAGCAGACCGAACCGGATGGCGTATTTCATCGGTTTCTGGATGGTGAAGATCTGTCGACATAGTAGGAAAATGGAGGATTTCGCAAAGAAGATGACGGGTCCAAGGATGGTGCCTTGTGCGTAGAGAATCTGGAGAACTGCATGGTAAGCACTCGGAGAGCAAGCAACAGGAATTGTCATGCCTTCATGTATCTGGCGGTAAACCAGCAGGCGGGTATATCCCACTGATGACGGGTGTATTTGAGCACTAGACGGATCATCAGTCTAAATCTGCGATGAATCTCATGGAGCAGAAACTGACTATCCAGAACCAAGGCATTGTATGTCGCGGACAGCGCCAGCGCGATGACCACAAAGCCTACAAGCGCTCGTCAATATCTTCTCAATCTCGGGAAGCTCTAGAATCGCTAGTTCGCAACGTACCGTCAGCCCAAGTCAGCTTGCGAAAGTTCGTATACAGCCTCGCTGCTGAAAACAGTGTCGCCCAAGCGAGCGTCACTGTTGTCACAGCGATGGTCTCAGCGGCCAAGTTCGGTGGGTTTACGAAGTTGGATGTCTGGCCTGGTGGAGGTTCAGCCGCTGGAATGGCGCAAAGATCCGTTCCTGGTGGGAGGGAAGACATTATGCGAATACAGCATGGAAACTATCATGCTGTCTGTTGCCCAGATATATCGAGCTGTGAGGACAGAGTGAGACGTTGAGTATTACTTCAATCTAAATGCGCCTGTTGACTTTATTGGGGGCAGCCCGTTTGCTGCTCGCAATGCAGCCAGGCCAGTGTTACATGCCAATATTTATTGCCTAAAAGTAGCTCCTCCCCCGAACAAAGAGCTCGAGGTATTAGCTTTGTAAGTAAATCTTAGATAGCTCTAGTTCCAGGTTTCCGAGCATCGGATCACGGGTTATTCTTTGTTCTTTTAAGTTGTGGGATCAATTATGCTTTGCGCTTATTCCAGCTCAACAAAGGATCGAGAAGTGTATGACGCAGAGGATTTGATGATCATAATCCGTAACCAAAAATGATTTTTCAAGCGAGAAACTCGAATCCTCTTCTTTAATTCATGAAAGCTAAAAACTACTAGTGAGGAGTATATCTCAAATTATTGTCCATGACTCCTCCTCCATACAGCGTACAGGTAAAGATGATCGCGGAACACTCTTACTACTTTACACCACAGTCGAATGAGCATCCATTGGAGGCAACGTGCAGCCAGCCTTACAGCCGATGAAGAAGTTGACAAGTGTGGGATACGACCTGATCCTCTGACTGGTGGGATGTCATTCTGCAGCTTTTATTTGGAGGGGGGCCGCTTACAGGGTATGATGGGAAAGTGGATAGTCCATTCCACTGTAAACAGTTAATTGGATTGTTGGCAGAACGTGCAGAGAGTAAAGGCAGTGGAAAAAAGCAAACTGAGACCTGAATGTCACCATCACCGAGGCTGCTATGGTGTGGTGGAGGTGGCTCGGATGTCGATCTGCTTTTAGCTGCGTCTACACTCTGCAGGATTGCCCCATAGCCAACCACTATTCAAAGCATCATCCTTATCGTCATCACCATCATCCAGTCAACGCTTCTTCTTTTCTCTTGAACAGTACAACCGTCCCTTCACGGGGGACTATGCTTGACCGCCACGTCCTCCACCGTTGGCTCTTGGGATCTTCCAACCGACACTCCCATTTCTCCAGAATACACACCATAATCAGCTTGAGGATTGTTGCGGCGTAAAACCTGCCGGGACTATGGATCATCAAGCATGTCAGCTTCAGAGTATGTCTTACAAAAATAACAATGAGGGGTTGACTTAGTTCCCCTCACCAGGCCGTGTTTCCCAGCCCCCAAATTGGCCAGTCCACGCTAACATCTGTCATCGTCAGAGGGCTATTCTCGGGCACGTCCAGAGACACATCTCCCGCGCGTAATTGCTTATTTGCTCTGGCGAATCGAAACCCGTCGAATGCTTGCGGATTCCGGTATCTGATCCGATCGCGCATCATCGCTCGTTGCGGGATACATACCCAATTACCCTCTGCGACTTCGAGTCCATTGGAGAACACGAATGGTGTCAGCGCTTTTCGTCGGACGGTAACTGCCTACATCAGCAAGGGTTGCATGTACTATCATCCAACAAGGATTGCCAACACCCACTTGCATCCGAGTTAGTGCAGCGAATCGATTCCCGCACAAAACTGTCGAGGAGGGGCATCTCAGCCACCCTCCTCCTGCACGAGCCCGCGAGATATTGTTGGACCTCCGCTCGAAGCGGCTCAACATAGTCGCTATGCAGACAGAGATCTTCGATGGCGTATGTGGTGGTCTAAGTTACCGCTAAACGATTAGCTTTTAAAGTTTCCTTTTTGATCCCAAAAAACGGTTCCTCCTTGCTGAATGCGGCCTCACCATTGCCAGCTGGTGCACCGAACCAAACCAGACGGCGATAATCTCACCAACCATCCTGGTCGTGGTCCATTGTATTTTCCGTGGCGACGTGTCAATCAGCCACTGCATGCAATCCATCTGCAGGCGGTTAGCCGAGCGACAAAAATTGTCCCAGCTGAGTCCCACCGGAGCATCCTCTTGCATAGACCTGGTCGAGTTGGCCCTCGTTGCTAACCGCTTCTCCACAACGGGCTCCAAATAGCGGAATAGTGTCCTAACGGCGTAGTGTTGTCGCGTCACTAGGTTCGCAACGGACCTTGTTGTGGTCAGCCAAGTCTATTCAGTTGCTTTGTATCAAGTGCCCACCGTCGGAGGAAACCCGGAGTGATACGCAAAATTTCAGCGGCTAGGATAACCCTCTGCGGGAATTCCAAGGCAGCCGCGGTGAACTCGGGATTCTGCGCTGCGACACAATAAGCCTGGCGGTGTCTGACATGCCAAGGGTAGTCGTACCAAGTTCCTCCCCGAAGAAGGCAAAGCTGTTGACCTTGGTGACCGTTCGCTTGATCATAGAGAACAATCTGCAACGCACGAATCCTGCTGCAGTCAGATGGAATCAAGCATGACTGGGGCGGCCCCCACTTACCGTCGCTTCCAGGTGCAACAAGCTCGTCTGCAATGGCAGTCTCGACGATCCTCTGCAACTCAGGCATTAGGATAGGCAGGTGAGCCGTAAGCCTACTGCGCAAGGCACGGACAAAGCCGGTCCCCTCGACACCTCGTTGGTCCTGCCACTCAAAGCCAAACATGGTGTATTTAGGCTGTAGAATCTACATCTTGTGTTACCTTCTGCTTCAACAGGGGCCAGGGGACATACCTCTTTAGCTACAGCATGTAGTGACAGGTTTTGAAGCGGCGCGTTGACCAGCTCCGCGATATGCTCGTTCGACGTAACCAACAAGTGATCATTCGAGGGAGTAGATATCTTGAAGGGCTTCCCCTCTGCCTGTTTCAGTCAGAACGTATCACTACCTAATGAGGAACGTTCACGCACTGCAATATACGCCTTGTCGATGATTTCTGGTCCCCGGGCCAGATACCACAGACCGCGGATGCGTCTGAAACAGAATATCAGGAAGGTGACGAGAATCTCCAGCATAACGGCTGTAGTCGATTGTTATCATGGAGGTATAATGCTCAGCAAGCCGGGAAAAAAAAGTCCAGGCGTTATTATATACCAATAGGTCAGACCAGTTCGGCCCATCTCTTCTCGACATGGCCCGGAACGGACTTGCGCGTACGCCTAGGAGATATGTCGACATGGATTTGGCGCTTGCCAACACCAACAGCAATATGCACGGACTTGACTGGCTAGGAAAGATGTACACTTACGTACTCGCTTCCAGTAGCGAGTACATAAACCGAGCCGCATCCGTTACGTCTTCCTCGACTGGATTGTCGCCTCCAACTCACCATGCTTTCTGACGCAGTTTCTGCAGCGATCGACTGGACCGGTCAAGGGATTTCCTGGGTTAATCAGGAGTATCCAGCTCTGACGGTAGCAGTTACCTCTGCTTGTGTTTTGGTCCTATGGAGAATATGGCGGTTCACCATATTGCCTTCGTATCATCCTAACGATCCGAAGGAACTACCATACTGGATTCCTTGTAGGTTATCCTCCCTAGCATTGAATCACAAACTAACAACGTCTAGTTCTGGGTGCGTATTCCTTGTGAGTCTCTGAATACGTACTTTCTAATTGCGACTAGGGCATGGGGCGGCATTCTTCAGCAATTCCAACGCTCTTCTGTCCAGAGCAAGGTGCGTCGCGATTCTCCGCTTATGCGTCATAGCTCACTAGTACCTAGAAATTATTACAACAACATCCAAGATCCGTTCGCTCTGACCATTGCTAATTCTCTCATCTACGTCATCACTAAACCCCAAGACGTCGCTGAGGCGTATCGCAACACCGACACTCTCTCCTTCAACGACTTTGTGCAAGCCATGATGCGCGCCTGCGGGAACACCGAGTCGTGCGTAAAGACAATGTACAAGCCTCTGTCCAAGGACAAGCCCGGGTTCCCCAATCCGCATGGCAAACCGTTGGCGACGCTGGCCCGCCAGATGCACATCCACCAATTATATCCGGGGGATAATCTGGACTTCCTGGAGAAGCAGTTCTTGGACTGGGTGGAACCTCGGCTGACCCTGGACGCCCTCAAACGGGAATGTCCCTATGCAATTCAGAGTGATCTCCCAGCGGGTAAAAAGGATGATGGCATCGTCCTGCCATTGATGCAGTGGTGCTCTGATTATTTCACCAGGGCCGGCCAGCGGGCGTATTTTGGGCCGGCGTTGCACGGGATCGATCCCAAGCTGCCACAGACATTTATTGTTTTTGATGAGCTGAGCTGGCAGGTTCTGTATCAGTATCCTGAGTTTCTGGCGGGGGAGATGAAATCCGCGCGCAATGCAATCCAGCGCGCGTTGAAGAAGTATATCCAATTGCCTCAGGAGACGAGGCAGGGAGATGCATGGTTCACAAAGGCGATGGAGAACGAGATGCGCGCGCTGGGTATCAGCGAGGATGACATTGCGACTATGCTGGTGACAATCTACTGGGGGTACGGCCCCGCATCTTACTTACGATAGCATACAGGAAGCTGACAGCTTAGGATCAACACCAACACGCGCAAAGCAGCGTTCTGGCTACTCACCTACATCCTCCACTACGGCCCGCAGCACTACATCGACATCATCCGGCAAGAGACGCTCCCTGCCTTCTCGTCTGACAAGTCGATCCCCGATCTGGACTACCTACACGACAACTGCCCTCACCTGGACGCCATGTGGAACGAAACGATCCGTCTCTCCGCGTACTCTGCCTCCGTGCGCTTCGTTACGTCCGACACCATTATCGGCGGCAAGATCCTGCGCAAGGGAAACCGGCTGATGATCCCCTACCGGCAACTGCACTTTGACGAGAGCATTTTCGGCGTGGACTACCCTGTGGAGGAGTTCCGACACGAGCGGTTCATGCAGAAGGGCCGCAATCTGACCCGGAGCGACAACTGGCGACCGTTCGGGGGTGGGACGACGCAGTGTCCTGGTCGATATGTCGCCAAGCGGTTTGTGTTGCTGTTTGTTGCGATGCTCTTGCGGCGGTTTGATGTGGAGCTGGTGACGAAGAGGATCCCCGCGGCTGAGGAGGGGAAGCCTGTGCTGGGGATTATGTCAAT